TTGTTCTAATAGTAAAAATTGATTTTTAGATACTTTTTTTTTTTTTTTTTTTTTTTGAAACTGAATTTTTTGAAATAATATATATGTATTTTCGCAATTAGATTGATCCAATAGATTTTGAAATATTTAAGCCATTTCTTGATAAGAATGTCGAGAGACATTATACCCGAAGTTCAATTATGTTAGGGCTTTTAATTCAATTAAATCCGAAGATTACTGATATGTAAGTATCAAAGTTACGAAATTTTTTTTTTTTATTTGAAGATTTAGATTAATTCTGATACCTGTGGTAATAATGAATTATAGACGCCGTAAAGGAGTTGCATTACAGGATTATCATAATATATTAGCTGTCGCGCCACAGGCTGCTAGATTTACTTTATTACCAATTAGTCATAAAGTAGGACAAAAAAACAGGTCATAATATTGTATATTTATAGATTTATACTTAATGTATTTAATGTAATGTAATCTAATGTTGTATGTTATACTTTAGAATATAAATAGAAATTTACATAGTAAATACAATTGCTTTATTAAGTCCAAAAAAAAAATATATTATTTTACAGTATTATAACGATATATCTCAAATTTAAGATCAGGTGTAACCTAAAGATTAAACTAAACCATCATAGTTTGTTAAAAAGTTATTTCAAAAGTTCATTTTAAAATTGCTTAAATATTTTAGAAAAGCATCCATTATACCTTAATTTTTATAGATTAGCATATATTATATAGATAATACTTAGTATGATAAAGTTCTTATTAAAATATTTTTAAATTTTTAATATACGTGAGGTTATAAGATTTAATTAATCTTAACTAGATTGCGAATTACTTTTAATAAAGTAATGTTTACAATACATTATAATGTAAAAATCTAACCTTTATATAAATTTACTACTTTAAATTCTCGAGATAGAGGACATGGCGTTATTTCGATATTTCGAAATCGAGCCCCTAAAAATTGTAATACAGTCGCACTCTTTAAGTGCACACTCCTTAAGTGCATGGTATATGAAAAACTCCTCTTGGTGACATTCAAATATGTACAAAATGACAATTAAATAAGTTTGATTAAACCATGATATCTCGTGATCTAGTAGTCCGATTTAGATACCATTCGAATCCTCTCGATGAACCGGTTTGAAGTACCAAAATCATCTAATTGCTCTGCTAGATCAATAAGATATCATAAATTAATCAAACATATAAATTCTAACCCCTCTAAATACACACCCCCTCTAAGTGACATTTTATGGTCCCAAGGGCGTGCACTTAGGGGGGTGCGACTGTATATCAAAATTTATAATATAATAACTATGGCTTTGAAATTGGCTCTTTAGCTCACATAGATTCGAAATAACGTGCGGTGATTGAAATGACTCATAAATGCCCATTATATCGAGAATTTATGGTACGTATTGCAAAACTGGTATATTTAAGTGGATTTATTATAATTAATCCTCAATATACTTGCAACTAAATTTTTTAACAAATATGTATAATATTAGTTTTTTTAATATACAATGAAGTTAATTATACA